GGGGGCAGGACATCCCAGGTGTCTGACGGACAGTGAGGGCCAGGCTGTCCCAGGGACTGCCCCCAGGTGGTTTCTTCCTGACCCCCTTGGAGGTGGTGCCCCTGGAGAGCAGCCTGTGTCACCTCCCAGGTGGAGGTGCTGCAGGAGCTGGGTGGAGCTGGGGTCCAGGCTCCAGGGGCTCAGTGTCCTAGGCTGTCAGGCTTGCATCGCCCTGACCCTGACCCCTGGGCCCCGAGCGTGGGTCTCATGGGGGAGCCAAGGCGGTCTGCCTGCACAGGGCTCCAGGTCTCGGGGCCCCTGGGGCACAGCCTCTCTGTTAGCAGCCCAGCGGCCGCCAGGGCCCAGCAACCTCACAGGCGGGCAGCTGTGTGCCAGGCTGCTCTTCCGCACCGCCTCCTGTGGGGTCACGCTGGTCTCCACCAGCCAGACCCTCCATCCTGAGGATGTGGCCCAGAGGTCAGAGGGTCCCACTGGACACGGGAGGCGCCCATGCACCATGCTGCATCTGGAAGCCTCTAGAACCCGTGGCTTATTCAGTGGCGCTGTGTGGCCACGCGTGGGCCCGGGCTCTGGCCTCAGTGCCCCTCAGCAGGCTGCCTGGGCCCAGCGTGGCACGGTGGCAGGCGGGGAAGGGAAGCATGGGTCTGCTGTGACAACAACCGCTGCTCTGATTGTCCTTCAGCCCTGCCCGCCGCGCCCGAGGGCAGCCCTGCCATGGCCGAAGCCCTCCTGGCCTCCACCTCATCCTGTGCCGGCCTCCTCTGCCACAGCCTGGCCCACCTGGGGGAGCTGCACCCACTGGTGGGCGTGGCTGGCCCCGCATTGGAGGCGGGCACCCCGCCGCCCCAGCCTGACGCCCGGCCGAGCCCAGTCACCCCGCAGCCCTGGCCACAGGCGGCTCTGCTGGAGGCCACTGTGACCACCCTGTACTTCTGCAGCGGCTCTGCGGTGCCCACTCCCGGCCCGGGTGCCCACCTCTGCAGGCTGCTGGCCAGCTGCGTCCGTGTGCAGCGCGCAGCCCTAGACTTCCTGGGGACACTGTCTCAGGGCATAGGTGTGTGGGACGTGAGACGGGTGACACCCCCTCCACCCCCGTGAGACAGGTGACACCCCCTCCACCCCCATGAGACGGGTGATACCCCCTCCACCCCCGACAGACATGTCCTCTCAGTGGCACTGTCCTCTTGGGCGGGTGGGCAGCCGGGCTCTGATGGGCACCTTTCCTGCGGGGCCCCAGGCTGGGGTCCTCATCCTCCCCCCCCACCCCACCCCCGTTCCTCCACAGGCCCCCGAGAGCTGGTGACGCAGGTGTTCGCCATCCTCCTACAGTACCTGAGCAGCCCAGACTCCAGCCCCA